CCATGAGGAAGTAATCAGCCAGATCCCGAAGGAAGACAAATGATTCAGTTTCTCCGGTGATCAGTGGCATGAAAATTAAAAGGAAAGATGAGGGAGGTTGTTAGGGCAGAATGGCAACTTTCAAGCACTTTACCTGTGGAACCATAAACTGTAGATCTCCCATTTCAATTTTTAATACTTTTTTTTTTTTTTTTTTTTTTGCTACTGAAAAAAAAAGAAAAAAAAAGAAAAGGGAGGTTGGTCTGTTACAGAATAAAAGAGACTTAGGAGACATAGCCAAAAGCCATGCATGGATCTTTGTGTTTTTTAAAAGATTTTATTTATTTATTTTTAGAGAGAGGGGAAGGGAGGCAGAAAGTGAGGGAGAGAAACATCAATGCGTGGTTGCTTTTGCCACACTCCCAATGAGGGACCTGGTCGGCAACCCAGGCACGTGCCCTGACTGGGAATCAAACTGGCTACCCTTTGGTTCACAGGCCGGCACTCAGTCCCCTGAGCCACACCATCCAGGGCAGATTTTATTTATTTTTTAGAGAGAGGGGAAGGGAGCGAGAAGGAGAGGAAGAGAAACAAAGATGCTTAAGAGGAGCATTCAGTTGTCTCTCACATGCCCCCAAATGGGGACCTGGCCCTCAACCCTGGCATGCACTCTGACTGGGAATTGATCTGGTGACCTTTTGGTTCACAGACCAGCACTCAATCCATTGAGGCACACCAGCCAGAGCTGTTTATTTCTTGATTGGAACAAACCAACTGTAAAAGGAATTTTTGAGTTAAAGAAATTTAAATATGAACTGGATATTAAAAATATTCAATAATTATTAATTTTATTGGGTATGATAATGGCATGGCGGTTACATTTTTAAAGAGCACTTATTAGTTTAGGTGCATATAAATGAGATGACTCATGTATGGGGTGCGCTTTAAAATATTGGGAAAAAGGTGGGAGTACGTGAATTGTGACATGATAATAACTACACATTGAGTCTTTGTCCCAAGTTCCTGGCACTAGTACTTGTAAAAAGACTCTTGGAATTTCCTGAGTGATAAGTGTGGGAGGAGTGTCTCTTGTTATTCACAATAAGTCCCTTTTTGCTAATCTGTCTTTTTGCTAATCAAGTAGTGACTATTACAGCTTGAAGATTATTTCTCAGGAATAACCGCCTGTGTGTCTGCATTGTGCACAACCACCTGTGATTGTTTAATGGGGAGCTTTGTTTCCTGCATCAACCCAAACATGCTCTCCTACCCTGCAGCGTTTAATACCAACGTGATTGCACCTAAATTATTCACTCTCATGTTCCATTTTAGTTAAAGTTTCTTCAGGAAGCTGATGATACCGATCTGTAAAAGGAAGCAACTCCTTCACGTTAATACCCCCTGGTTTTAGTACTTTCTTGGTTTTGCCCTCCCCTCATATTGACTAGTATTGACTACCTTCGTGGTGACTAGAGGCCTTAGAGGTGCTTTCTGCTGTCTCAGCATAATTTTTTACTTTGTGGACAGCTTGAGGCTACTGACCAAAGCTTAAACTGATCAACATCTGAGCTTAGTCTAGCATTAAGGTCCAAATCAGAGCGCTTTGTCCTGGTGGGTGTGGCTCAGTGGATTGAGTGCTGGCCTGAAAACCAAACGGTTGCTGGTTCGATTCCCAGTCAGGGCACAGGCCTGGGTTGCGGGCCAGGTCCCCAGTAGGGGGGCCTGTGACTGGCAACCACACATGGATGTTTCTCTCCTTCTCTTCCTTCCTCCATTGCCCTTTCCAAAAATAAACAAATAATTAATTAATAAATAAATCTTAAAAGAAAAACCAAACCAGAACTCTTTTTGAAAAATTTGATTTTAGCTATTACAGATAATAACCAAAGGATTGTATATTTCACTTTTTTCTTATTAGTTTATATTGCCTTACGCATCCGCTGAACCAACTCCTGGGATCCAATTTTAAATTTCATTTGTAACTTGTGCTTTCAGTAAATGATTGCAGCACAGCTGCTGCTCCACACCAGTGGTGACCACGTGACCTCCCAGGGATCAAAGTTGCCTCATTTCACACACTTTCATTCTTTCTTTTCCCAAACTAATATAAGAGAGGGGCGTCAGAACTATATAAATTAACTGAAGCCAAACCAAGTTCAGTCGGGGGCCCGCTCCTTACTGCCCGTCAGGGAACTCAGCCCACCTGAGATGCAAGCAGAGGACCAAGGGCCTCCGGACAGAGAGCTCCTGCACAGACTCAATAATAGCTACTCACCCACACCTTACCATTTACACCCACCATGAAGGGTAAACAGACTATAAAATATACCTGGTAAAGGTTAAAGTGAAACCCAACATGTTCTTCCACTCTGTATTTCCACATACCAGCAATTTTCTGTAGAAACGGTAAACAGATAAAAGCTCAACCTCTAGAGGTGGTTGGGGTCTCTTTCCTTCTTTTGGGAGGAGAGTCTGCTATTCTGTCTATGGAGTGACTTTTCTTGCTTGTCCTCTCTGCTCCATAAAATCTGCTTTTCCACTTTTGCCTTTTCTCTAGCTCACTTCTTACAGTCTTAAATTCTTTCCTACCAGAAGTGAAGAACGCTCTTGACTTGGGGCTTGAGTTTCCCCCAAGGGACTTCCCCCTTCCGGGTCAAAACCACATATTTCTGTGAGCCAGGGCCAATCTATCAAATCTCACTTCTGACACCATCTATTAGCTGTTTTTAATACCAGCACTCTTTACACCAAATTTGGCCGTTATTTTTTCCCCCTTTACCAACCAATTCTCTAAACGCCCACACAGCAACAGGCTGTCCTACAAATCAATCAGTTTTGACACTAAATACCCAGTGTGAGCTTAATCCCAAAAGACTGCCCTCCGCTTCAGAGGCCAATCATAAGTTCTGGCCTCCCGTACTTCTGACCAACTGACTATGAATTGGGGGTTCCCACGACCCCCTCCTCAGGTTCACTAATTTACTAAAATGGCTCGCATAACTCAGGAAGAACAGTTTATTATTACTGGTTTATTACAAAGGAAGAGACAAATGAAAGAGATGCATAGGACAAAGTTTAGGGGGAGTGGTGTTGCGCTTCCGTGCTCTCTCTAGGTGCACCATCCTCTGCACCACAGTGTGCTATTCACCAATCCATTGGGCAGGGGTAAGGGTTTTTATGGTGATTCCATTATGGAGGCATGATTGAATAAATCTTGATGATTAATGCAACCTCCTGTCCCTGTCACATCTCCCTGAGGTTTGAGGGGTGGGCCGAAGGTTCCAGTCCTCTAATCATCTGGTTGGTTCCTCTAGCAACCTGCCCCCATGTGAAGTTAAATATGGGCTCACCTAGGGTCACCTCATTAGCATAAACACAGGTATGGTTGGAAGGAGTTTATGTACAACAAAAGACACTCCGCTCACCCCATCATCTGGGAATCCCAAGGGTTTTAATGCTAGGAATGCAGGGCAGACCAAATATATATTTCTTACTACATCATAGTATCACAGGGGGTAATAATAAGATGGGAAAAAAGCTGGTAATTGTTGAAGTTGAGTGATGGCTACATAGAGACTCATTATACTAAGTCTCTGGGCTTTTGTATTTGGAAACTTAGATAATAAAATATTTATAATAAGAGAGAATGAGCGCATGCACAGCAGCACCTTATAAGCCATAGCAAGGAGTCTGAACTTGATTTTTAACTTTTTATTTTGAAATAATTTTAGATTTTTAGGTAAGTTGCAAAGACAGTAGAGCATTCTCTTATACCTTCTGCCCATCTTCCTTTAATGTTACATCTTACAAAACCATGACATATTTATCAAAGCCAAGAAATTAACATCCATACAATACCATTAGTTAAACTACAGACTTTATTGAGGTTTCTCCAGTTTCTCCACTAGTGTCCTTTTTCTGTTTCAGGACCCAGTTCAGGCTACTGCAGATTTAGTCATCACGTCTCAGTCTCTTTCAATCTGCCAGTTTCTTGGTCTTTCCTTGCCTCTCATAGCTTTGACACTTTTGAAGAATAGTGATGGGGGCATATTGTAGACTGTTCTGTGATTTGGATTTATCTGATGTTTTCTCTTGATTAGACTGAAGTCATGGGTTTTTGCAAAGAACACTACAGTGGGGACGTGGTCTCATTGCATCATGTCGGGGAGCACAGGATGTTATCAGGACTTACTACTTCTTTAACCTTAATCACTTGGTTAAGGAGGCATCTACCAGGTTTCATGACTATTTTTGCTTTTCTATACTCAGTGAGAGTCGCTAAGTCCAGCTTACCCTGAAGGGGACTTCAAAAGCAGAGTCAAGTCACTGAAGGGATTTGGGGGCAGGGTAAAGTGTTTGAATGTCTGTTTTAGAAGGAATATGCTGGCTGAAATGTGGAGATGAGTTTCTGGCGGAGTTTGTGGTGGGACTGGACATAAACTGGTGGATTCGACTGCCTTTAGCAGTCTGGCTCAGCCGGAATTGGTTCCTGATTGGATACCGTGATGAGAGAAGGTGAAATCAAGGACGGCCTCCAGGTTTCTAACTTGAGCAGCTGAGTGGCTGGGGCCTTGCACGGACTATAAACCCAGGGGTCTGTGAGCGCCTTGGACAGTGTGTGCTTCCCCTGACTCCCTGTGAGAAGCTGCTTTCTGTTTCTTAGTCTTGCTTTGGGGCAGGTTCCCTGAGGGTTGCTGGGGTGGGAAAATGATTTACCCACATACTCGCTCGGAGGAGTTTGGTGTTACCAAGGAGGGTCAGAGTCTCAAGTAAGAGAGGGGACGGCCACCGAGGCCGCCAAGAAGCTGGAGGAAAATGAGTCATCCCGAAATCCTTTACTCCCCTCCCCTTTTAGTGACTCAGTTATGAGCATTTGACTCAGTGGTTTCAAACAAGCAATTTTATGTACCTTTTCCAAGTTCTGCCAACCGGCCTCCCCCTCTCGGCCTTGAGTGTTCCGTGTCCCTTTCGGGCGCCTGCTGGGAGAGGGGCGGCGGGTGGGGACTGCTACCTCTCAGCCCTCACCTCCGCCGGCGGGACCCCCGCCCGGGTTTCTTTTCTCCTCGGCGCCTTCGGGCGGGGGCGGGGGCGGGAGGAGCTGCGGGAGTTGGGGCCGGAGGTCCGGGCCCAGGCACCGGGCGGACCCCGCTGCCCTGCGGAGGCTTGTAGACCAGATGGAAGATGAAGGCGTTGCAGTACCTGAGGGGCGTGGCGGTGTCAGGGGCGGATTCCCACCAGCCGGGGGGGAATCGTCTTTGGCGGTGGGCGGGGAGTTGGAGAGATTTTGAGTTGGATGTAAAGAGGGGTGTGTTGGGGTGTCGAGACCAGCCAGGGAGGTGGTGGGTTGTCGGGGGCAGAAAAGGCAGGCTGTAGGGTTGGGGCAGGGAGGGTCCCAGGAGAGCAGAGAGTAGGGGTGGGCCTTTTAGGATGAGCAGCTAGAGAGGAAGAAGTTAAGGGTCAGGGAGCGGGGGCAGAGGGGAGGGTGGTGGGCCCTTACCAGGGCATGCAGTTGTCTGCCGCTCTGAGACGAAAGGGGGAGCGGAAAGGGTTGGGCTGTGGAGGGCTGGTGCCCCCTCCTGTGGCCACTGCCATGGTCTGGTCGTCCATCACGCAGCCGTACTCGCTGCTCTCGGTGAAGAAGGCCGGCACGCGAAGGGACTGGGGTGGGGCCGACCTCGGTTAGTCTCAGGCTCCTCCCACCAGGGACCTCCCGAGCAGCAGGGGTTGCAGACTAGGTTACAGACTGAGAACCCAGATAGACCCTGAGGGAGGAGCGGTACGAAGCAGACACAGGGAGGGGCGAGAGGGCCCGCGGGTGGCCCCCGGGGCTGTGAAGCAGAGAGATCGTGGAGAAGCAGGGACTTTCAGGAAAGGAGGAGGGACTGGGCAGGAGGTGAAATTCCCTTTTGCTCTTTGCCCACCTGTAACCGGGGCAGCGAGCTCAGCCAAGTGTCCTTGAGACCAAAGCCAGAGTTGAATCCTGTGGACCAGAGCGGAGCAGGGAGAAGCTTACTCCTGTGGTTTTCTTCTCCCACCTTCTCCCACTCCTACCCCAGGTTCTTACCAATAACCAAGTCAGGCTTGGGCCCCTGGAGCAGGTGGTAGGGACGCGCAGACACTTTGATCTGCAGGTCCCTTCGGCCCCCCTTCTCCTTAGTTCCAGAGCTGAGCCGGGCTGATACCCCGGAACCAGGACGGACAGATACTTCAGGGCCATCCTGGGGGGCCATGAGACGGGTGGAGAAAGCACTGGGAGTTAGTTAGGGGAGTGGTGGGTGCATCAGACAAGACGGGGAGGGGGCGCGGGGGGCGAGCGGAGGGCAAGTTCCAATAAGGAGGGCAGCAGGGGGATCGGCTGAAGAGTAGGGTCCCCCGCAGCCCTCACCCTCTGCAGGGTAAAGTGCTTCTGGTCACTCTCAGGGGGCAGGCCATCACCCACAAACTGTAGTTCCAAGGCCACGTGGGGGAGCAAGACCAAGAGCTCCTAAAAAACAGAGAGGACAGATTGGGGTCCCGCCCTGCACCCACTTTCACACCCAAATGCCCAGTTTCTGGGCCTGGAGGGACTTACCCAAAACACCATGACAAGGTCAAACTCCTTCCCGGCCTCCACCACGTGGATTTTCAGCGACTGTTTGTTCTGGATGTTGAGCTCAGGGACTGTGTGAGAAGCTAGCCATTTAGGGACAAGGTCTCTCTCCTCTTCCCTCCTGTCCCTACCAGCTCCCTGTTGCCCCGCCTCATGCACCACCCCCCTTTGATCTCCTTACAGGACTGGGGCACCAGGCGGGTGATGACGTAGTACACGGTCAGTGGGTAGGTGAGCAGCACCGCCATGGGGGAGTCCAAGCTGAGGCCCCGCCATGTGTAGTAATCCTGCCACGAGCCTGGGGAGTGTGCGTTGCTGGGGGACCTGGCCCCAGGGCTGGGCCCCGACACCTCCCGTCTAATAGTCCCATTTATCTCAGCCACCAGACTGCTGGCTCTCCAGTCCCCGTCCCTGTCCCTAGTCCCTACAGGGCCCCTCCAGCTCACCCAAGAGGCCCCTGGGTGGATCCGGAGGCACAGGAGGCATCAGGGCAGGCCCGTCCCCCTGGAGAAGCCGGTAGGGATCCCCTGAGAGGAGGAAAGAAAGAGGAGGAGACTGGTCACGGAGACCCCTGCCGGGCATGCTTCCCCTCTCCCTTCCAAAGGACCTGGAACAAGGGGAAGGCGGGTACGGGGTTGCCTAGGGATGGAGTTTCTGGATGCGGAGGACAGCAGTGACTTAGAGGGTTAGGAAGAGGACTGAAATGGCCCTGGTAGTGAAAGTTTAGTGTTTATTTGGACGGGTCATTTGGGACTCAGACAACTCGATTCTCTCCCCTCTTTTTCCATGGTCTGAGAGGCCCAGGCCTGAAGAGAGATCCCACGCACCGTCGAGAAGGAGGCCGAGAGACGGCATGCTGCCCCGGGGGTGCCTGGGGGTGCCAGGGCCTGGAATCAGCATGCTGATCTGGGTCCAGTAGCCACGCGTGAGGCCCCGTGAGGCCAGGAAGGCCTCCTTGTTGAAGGTTTCGCTGGTCACTTCTGGAGAAGGAGGAGGAGAAGGGCTGAGGGTCTGGTGGCTAGGATCCCAGACTTTAGCCTTCCTCACCCTGGGTCTGAGTATGGTGCTAGTTGGGGAGAGAACTAACACTTCCAAGTGTCTGCAGTGTAGCAGGCATCCAGCCTACAGAATTCTGATGTTTGTTCCCTGGGAACATTTGTTAATACCCTATTTCACAGGTGGGGAAACGAAGGCACTAAGAAATTAAGTGATTTGCTTAAGGTCACCAGTTAGTGGTGGAGCTAGGAAGCGATAGTTTGAATTGATAGTTCCAAATCCCCTAAGCTCTCTCAGGGACCCGGGTGCTGAGTCCTTAGCTGGATCCTGTCTCCAGCCTCAGGGGTCTAGTTCCCAGCCTCAAATACCCAGCCCCCAGTCCTTAATTCCAGGGATCCAGACTCCAGCCCCAGGCACTTAACCTCTAAGACCTTTTTCCCAGACACCCAAGCACTAGGCACAAAGATGGGGTCCCAGTTCCCCCTCCCCATCCTGACTTCCTTATGGTACCTGCAGTGTAGGTAAAAGGCAGAGTTGCCAGTTCCCCTGTCCGCTCCATGAAGGCTGCAAGCCTTGGGCACCAAAATCTGTGGCTCACATCATCTGGGCATCGCCGCCAGTCGGCCCGGAGACAGGCCTCTCCACAGTATAAGACAGCACCACACTGGGGACTGGGGACACAGGAGCATTACGCTCTGTAAGTCCTCTGTCTGCCCACTATCTGCCCTGGCGCTACCCATATGCCCCTCGGTCTGTTTGTCTGTATCCTCTCTGCCAGTAACAGCCTGTTGTTTTCATCTCATTTCCTCGTCCCTCACTCTGTCTGTCTACAGGGTCCCACACCAGCCTGCTCTCTCTCTGTTTGCCTGACTGTTGGGGTGCTCCTTTCTTTGACTCCGTCTTTGTGGGCTGCTCACCAGGGTGTCAGCTTCACTTCAAAGCTGTGCTTGTGACAAACGTGGCAGGTTCGAGCCCGAAGGGAGGCAAAGGTGAAGCCTGGCTGGGGACCCCATGTCCGCATTGGGGTCTTGGCTAACTTCACTCCCAGCCTTGGGACCAGACTCTCCAGCTTTCTGAATGGGGATGAAGAGGGCATCAGGCTGCGGGGTGCAGAGTCCAGGCCCCCTAAGCCTTCCCACTCTCATGTACCAGATTTCTGTACCGATGTAGCTGGGCATCTCCCACAGTGAGCTGTCGGGGCTTTCGAGGGTCTCCAGAGCCCATGGGGCAGGCCATGCTGTGGCAGAGGAGAGCATAGGCCCGAGGAGCCAGGTTCTCTGTCTCTGAGTCCTTGCCGGCACCCCTCTGGGCTCCCTCCATTAGCAGGTCAATGCCCAGGATGGTGCCATGTTCATCGGTCACCAGTAAGAGGCAGGAAAGGTGCAGGGGGGCAGCCTCTGGAGAAGAAGGGAAAAGTCAGAGGTGGGGGGGTGGCAAAGATGATGGGGTCAGGGGTGTCAAGGTCAAATGCCTCCAGGGGCTGGACAAATAGACTAAGTGAGTAGAGGGAACTAGGTAGAGAAGGTGTGCCTCGTCTAAAGCATCAGCTGCTGCACGGTTCCAGTGTCTGCTGCCGTACAGAAATGTGGGCCTGCTGTCAGAACCTCATTTTGTTTTTTAAAGAAGGTATAACCCCATACATCAGGTGTGTTTTTTTACTTCCAATGTTTAAATGTCGGCTCAAATTTAAAAACAAAAACAATGTGGGACAATGAAAGCACCTTTTCAGGCCAGGCTGACTTAAAGCCACCCTTTTCTCTGAGCCTCCTATATGGGTTCTGAGTGGTAAGCGGGACTTCAGAGAGGGGATATGTCTGGGCAGGGGGCAGGGCAGGGCCAGCCCTAGGTTCTTACCACTTTTCTGTCCCTTCCTCCTCTCTGGCCAGGTTCTGTCTTCTGCCCTGTCCTCTGGGCAGCCATCCTTGCCACCTCCGGCCTCCTGCTCAGCCTCCTCTGGCTCCCCTGGAGGATTTGCTTCCTGGGGGGACTCCCTGCTCCCGTGGCCTGGCTCCCCATCCTCCTCTGGTTCTACCTTCTCTGTGCTTGCATTATCCTCTCCATTTTCTTCTTCTTCCTCTTCCTCCTCCCCTTCCTCCCCTTCTTCCAAACTGATAAAGCTGACATAGGGGCTTAGGTCTCGAAGGTGGAGGGGGGGCTCATCTCCCAGCAGCCAGCCGGGCCCCAGGCCTGGTCCGGGACCTGGCTCTGCCCCTTGCCCCAAGCTGATGCCCACATTACGGTTGGGCAAGACATGGAGCACCCAAAGGGCAGGGTCCTGGGGCAGCCTTCTGATCTGAGCCTCTAGCTGTTGCCCCCGGCCCTCAAGGCTGGTCTCCACAGCCCCACGCTCTGCCACAAACTTTCGGAACCAGCCGAAGAGGAGGGCAGTGAAATCAAGGAACTCATCTCGGTATCCAGACACAAACTCCATGTCTTCAGGGGCACCGGGCCGGGGCTCAGACTAAGCAGAGGAAGGGGTTATACGGTGAGGTAGAGAGTGGTGGTGAGAATTTGGGGCTGGGTCACAAAATGCGGGAGGGTGGGTTTTAGGCTCTAGAGGTAAGTGTTAGGACCTGAGAATAACGTTTTCAAGGCTGAAAGTGGGAGTCCAGCGATGAGAATGGAGGCTAGACTTGAAGGTGGACCATTAGGGTTAAAGCTGTACCCAGGAGTGAGATGGTATTTGAGGCTCAAACCTCAAGAGCAGAGTTTGAGGTGGGATAGAGATGAGGGAGGGCTAATCCATCCCGTCCGGAAAGGTTGGGCAAGGAAGGAAGACTTTTGGGTCCGTCCGTGGGAGGAGGGAACAGGAGGAGCCAGAGCGTCCCTTCAGCTTGGATCGGTTTGGGGGTGAGCCCCAGCAGACCTGGCCTCTCCGGCCGTTCCACTGCTCCGGTACCTGCAGCCGCCACCACTTTTCGAAGGTAAATACCTCGGGGGTGGGGGCGGGCGTGACGTCAGGGCTGCGGAGCCCACCGCCCGCTCCTCGCGAGTTGGCAGCGTGTGTCCCGGAGGTTCAGGTCCGCGTCCGTGCGGCCGAGCGCGCGGACTTTCCGGCCCCAGCTCTCCGGCCATGTGAGTGACTCCAGCTGCTCGAGGAGCCCGCCGGGGAAGTGAAAGAGTCTTGGAGGAGGAAGCAGGGTGTAGCCTCTCACGCGTGTCACAGGTCCCGTGGGCGACCTGAAGCGGGTGAACGGACGGGCGGGGCTGGCGGACCTAAATCGCACCGTCAGCGGGTCAGTCGCCGCTCGCCTGCCCACCTCACCGCAGCCCGAATTTTCCTTCTCTTCTGACATTGCGACCAACCCTTGAGGGGTCCGGTGGCCCCGGGACGGGGCGAAGGAGCTCCGCCTCGGGGCTTTCCCGGCGTGGGAGGAAGATCAGAATCTTCGAGAGTCCACTGAACTGACTGCGCTGTCGAGTCCAGACGCTGCGAGCGCCGGGAGGAAGGGAGGCGGGGAGCCACCTCGCGCCCCGAGCCTAGGCCGGCGCTCACGGCCTCTGCCTCTCCCAGAATCTCAGGCAGGGCAGGTGAAGGACGAAAAAGCCTTCAAGAAACCAGCCGCCACTCTCCGGAGCCTGTCGGGGAGCCAGACTGGGACGCGTGGCCCCGAGATGAGGGGGACCTGGGGGCCCCAATTCCTCGCTCTCCTGCTCCTGCTAGCGATGCTGATTCTGCCAGGTTCGTCAGGGGGCGGGCTGGGGCTCAGACCCCCGAATAAGGGGAAAGAGGAGGGACGGGTGTGTGTGTGTGTGCGGCGGGGGAGCCAGGCGTGCCAGGATCCCCAAGGGAGAGGGCCAGCTGCCTGGAGGTGGGGTCGGGCTGGAGGACACCTGGGGTTCTGAACGCATTGGGGGATGTGGTGTGTGGGTTGAGCCTGGGGCAGACCCGGGGCTAGGGAAGAGGCTGCAGTGGGGCCGTGGGTTGGAGGAGAAGGGACAGTGTGAGGAGCACCTTGGTCTGGGAGCCAGTGCTTGACCACCTCTGCCCCGCCCAGGCCGTGGCAATGAGGGCAGCACCACTGGAAGTTGTCGCTGTGATACACCGTTTTATTCCCACTCCCCTCCAACGGCTCAACAAATGGAACATTTCCGAAAACAACTGAAAAGTTATGATCAATGCACTCCCTTGGTCAGGTAATCTCACCCACCCCGGAAAGGGCCGCGCCTGGTAAATCCCTCCTTCCCACGCCGCGAGCCTCTAGGACCCTCTCTGGTCACACTTTAACGCCTCCTGGGAGGACCTGCCCTTCCTCTGCAGCATGTTTGCCTAGTTCTGAAAACCTTCACTTTCTTATTCGATCTCTTGGGAATTTCCCAGTTGCTCTTGGTGGTGACCTCACCTTTTTGGAATGAGGAAAAAGTTGGAAGAGTGGGGCCACCTTCTCGAAGCTGAGACCAGGTTCTGCCTCAGCAGGTTCCGCCTACCCCGCAGGACTGTGTGCGGGGGCAGCAGAGACCCATGGGTGATTACATTGATCCACTGCTTGGACCGCAAAGGTGAGTTTTCCCCCTCCTCTCCCATACCCACCACCTAGATTCTGTAACATTTGATATATTTATAGTTTACGTTTCACATATGTACATAATAAAGCAAATGTATTTTGTAATGTTGAGTTTACAGCACTTTGCTTTATTGTACATCCGTCTGTCTAGCCATCCCCTATCATCTATCACCTTGTTTTTTTGAAGCATTTCCAAGTAAGGTGCAGGCATGATTCTATTTTACCCCCAAACATTTCAGCATGCATATTATTAAGTAGAATTCAATATTTTATTGTTCCATTTTTCTTTTGAGGTAAAATGTACACACAATGAAATGAATAAATCCTAAGTGTGCACAAGCCACTTTTGAAAAACTTAAATAGCAACTTGACCTATGCAGTATCTGTGAAGTCACAAATTTAATGCACTGGTTGTATTTTTCTCCTAAAAGAAATATACAACCATTAAAATACACTATGTTTTTCACGCCCCACCTCAATTTGTCTTGTGTAGCCTCAGTGGTAAGCGTACTGCCCTCTGGGCCCCACAGGCCATGCCTTATTTCATTTAATCCTCCCAGCTACCCTGCCCCTTGGTACAAAAATGATCTCTGCTTCCCAGCTGAAACCAAGGAGTCCTTAAGAGGTTCAGAGACAAAGTGCAAGGTCACACAACAAGGTAGCACGGCCAGGGTTTCAACCCAGGTCTCTTGATTTCCCAGGTCAGAATACATGCTTGTTCCAGTGGTTTTGTGTTGTGGTTGGCTCACTTCCTTCTCCTCCACCTTTCCCCTCTCCCCCTGCCTCGCTCTCCTGGTCTTCAGTTGTTCCCTAGATGTTCTCCTTGACCCATGACCCTCTCTTTATCTACTACTTCAGCATGTCCCCTCATATCCCTGACTGCTCGCTTCTTTGCCTCTCCAGAATGTGGACGTGCTTTCCTGGGGAGAATGGCCCACCAGCATTCACCTCCCAGCAGCAGCCAGGTTCCTGGGTCCACAGAAAGGGCACCTGCAGTCACAAGCATCTCTGCCCAGACACACCTGCCACCCACCTTGCAGTCTACCCAGCAGCACACCCTTCCAGCAGCACTGCCTTTGGATGAAAACCTCACTCACGCCAATGAAACCACTACTTCCGCTGTGGGCCACAGTCTGGAGACTGGGGAGAACAAGCAGCAGCTGGATGGGAATGTGGGTCCTACAGCTGGGACTGCTGTCACAGTGCCAGTGTTGTCCCTCTTGGCCATCAGCTTCCTCCTCACTGGAGTCCTCCTCTATGTGCTGTGTAAGAGGAGGAGTAAGAAGTCACCGCAGTACTCTCCAGGTAAACTGGACCTCTGAACCGCTCGCTCCATTAGGAACTAGTCTCCCTGGCAGGGATCCTGACCCAAGCAGCGTCTAGGTACATATTTGCCACCCCAGGCAAATATGAAGGTTATTGGCATCACGGGCCATAGGTCACAAGAGAAGAGTCAACCAGACTACAGAATGGGGAGGAAGGGAAGCCACCATGGGTCCAGGGACCAGTGCTTGGAGAAACAGCGAGATGTCAGCTAGAGCAGGCTAGTGGGAGATGAAGCTGTGGAAGGTGGGAACCACCCATTTAATTCACAGATCTTTACTGAGCACCTACTGTGTACCAGGTTGTATGGTTAAATGTTTTGGAGTCTGATTCTCCAAGCTATCACCCCCCCACCCCACCTTCTTTTGTTCTCTCAATTTATCTTTTCCAGATTTGCAGCTTCAATATACACGTCGACTCTCAGACTCCCAACACATGGGCTAAGAATGGAAGCTAGTGGGAATAAAAATTGTGACTAAATATCATGCACATTTAATATACTTGAACAATCTCTGATGCATAGTAAGCACTCCATATATAAATAAGTAAACAGGCACTGCTCTTAGACCTTCTTCTGCTTGTTTTTTCCCTACGCTATAATGTAAAAAATCTACCTTCAACATACTAAAATTCTGTTTTTTTTTTAACAAAAAATTATTTTTATAATTATTGACTCTTCTTTCTGGATACATTGGCTTCACACCTTTGCCCCTTTACCATGATTCCTGGCTTCACCTTCTTTGCCGATGGTCCCGTTCCCGTCCCCCAAAGTTTCCCTTCATACTGCACCGACTTAGCCCAATGACAGCCCTTTCCTGCTTCCTCTCCTGACCCCACACATAAGGCCTGGGCTTTCCCACTCTCCCTCAGCAGACGCCATACAGGCTAGTTTTACTTCCTCAGTCCCTGGAGTCACCCACATATGCCCCAGTGATTGAGCTCATTGTTTTTATTGTTACTGTTTTTATTATTAAAACCCTTAGTTCTTCTTTTATCTCTTCCAATGAAGAAGAATGTACAAGTCTGTGGGAGCCTGGGAGTAGGACATGAAATATATGAGGAAGTGGGTTGGGTGTCTGAATCTCCATCTCCTGTCTGAGCTTGTTAGCGCTTCTGTGAAATGCATGCGGAACAGGAGCACCGGGCTGGAGGAGCCAGTGTAACGTTGCGGGCAGGCTTGGTCTTTAAATTTCTCCATTCCCACCTTTTACCTCATTGTCCTCCTATATTCTAACCAGCAGGGCATGCACAGCTGCCTGTGCTCCCCATCCTACGGTTCTCCAGGATCTGTCCTGGGGTGCAGGTGGTGGTCTCTTTCCAAGCTGTTTCTCTACCTGCTTGGATTAGTTTTCCAGCATCTGCTCACAGGTTCGGGCCACATCACTGAGCTTGAGGCGAGCATAGTCCACTCGCTTCAGGGCCATCTGACAGTCCTTCCTTGAAGAATAGCTGGAGCCCTCATGGGGCTGCCCTGTGGCCACCTACAGGACATTTCAATTGGTCAGCGAAGCACCCCCTCCCTTGTCCATTTTCCCAACAGGGTGTCAGGTCTCCTCTCATCTCTTCCCTGTGTTTGAATCCATTATGCCCCACGGCAGCGGGATGACCTAAGGCAAACCACTTAACCTCTGTTAACCTCATCTGGAAAATGGGGGTAAAAATGACTAATTCCTAGAGCTGCACGATTAAATAAGATAATGAAGAGTGTCTGGCACGTTTGTAAAATTTTGCCATTCTGGTAAATGGTGGTTGCTATTGTAATGACTTCAGAACCCCCTCAATCCTGTCCTTTTTCTCAGGATGTAGCCACCTGGGGTTTCAAGCCCTTGAAGTAGGGTCAAGTTTCGAGGGGCAAAGTCCTGTGGCTTTGGGATTGTTTATAAGCCCTCTCCCAGGACTTCCTCACCTAGTGGCTCATAGGATGAAGCCCAGTGAAGTTGGAGGGGTCGGCTTCGTTTTCTTTTAGAGAAAGGAACCGGCCCTGGAAAAGAGGGGTCCTCACAGGGTCATCCGGCCTGGTGCCAGCTGGGGCGGCCTGGTCCTGCCTGGCTCCCAAGACTCTGCCTGGGCCATCTGAACACTAAAGCTAAGGCAGAGAGCTAGGTGGGCGCACTGCACCTCCTACCGCCCACCCACCTGGGTTAGGTAGCGGATCTGAGCCGAGAGCTCCGCCTCTACATGTTGCACCGACGCCGTGAAAGCCGCCGCTTGCCGGTCCAGAAGCCGCTCATTGGTTTTTTCCTTGGAAAGTTCCAGGATCACGGTACCTGCCGGGGAAGAGAGAGGGCTGGGCTACTCAGAGAGCGCCAATACAGACCACCTCACTGGCCAGCCCCTCCAAGCCCCGCACGCGCAGCGCAAGCACCCAGGATCCCTCCCCAACCCCGCTCCAATTCTCAGGTTGGCGCATGTGCATGCCGATCGCCCTCACTCTCTGGCTTCCGGTCGCCGTATCCCGAACCTGCATTCTGAAGAATCGCTCCGATTTCTCGTTCGATGTCTTCCAGGACGCGTAGTCGCTCGTTTGCCAGACTATAGGTTGCCATTGCCACTCTGGAAATCCAAAGGATTTTCTGAGAAGCGCGACGCTTGGACCCGGAAGGGAGTCCTTTGCGCCTGCGCAGAGAACACTCTCTAACAGGCACTACAATTCCCAGGATGCTCAGCGCAGCCTCACCTCCCTAGGTTCATCTAGTGAACTACAACTCCCAGGGAGTTTTGCGCATGCCCAGGGCTGCGTTGCTGCCTGGGACTACCTGTGCAAGGGACTGTATGGGGGCGTTCTCTAGCCAGAGGCCATTCTGACCAGTCGACCTTCACAACAGTCTTGTGGTTTATAGTTAATTTCTTCTGCAGGAATTTATTAAGCATCTGCTGGTGCTAGATGATGATGGTGGAGTTCTGGGGTATTTCTCCAGACTACACAGCCCTGGAACCTCTCTGTGTGTGCTCACCCGGCTCCGCCATCTGTTGGAGTCTAGGGAAAGCTTGACTTGGTGAGTGTTAACGTTATTCGCCTTAGCGCTTGCCCTTCCACAGGCGCTCATCTGAAACACAGACTGTCAATATATTCTCAGAATCTGGCTTATTTCAGCCTTTCCCCTTTTCTCTTTCTGGTTTTCTCTTATGTGGTGGGCACTGAGGATAGAGAGATAAATGAGATGGACTCTTCTGCGGTAGTGGGATAGGCGTTTTGTTAGAGATACGTCCACGGTGTATCACCAGGAGCACAGAGAAAGGATTCTGGGAGGAGGTGCAGCTTGAACCGATTCTTCAGGGTAACCAGGTGTCCATATTTGCTTGGAGAGGGAAAGGGAACTGGCACAGGCAAGCGCATGGTGCATGAGGGGGTCTAGCACATTTGAAGTACAGGTGTTCAGTTTGAGTGGAATGAATGGAGTGTGGTGGTGGTTAGGTGTGACTGATGGAACTGGAGTGGAAAGATACATAAGGAAAAAGCTTACAAGTACCCTGGCTGATGTGGCTCAGTGGACTGAGTGCTGGTCTGGGAACCCAAGGGTTGCTGGTTCGATTCCCAGTCAGGACATATGCCTGGGTTGTGGACTAGGTCCCAAGTAGTGGGTGTGTGAGAGGCAACCACACATTGATGTTTCCCTCTCTCTTTCTCTATCCCTTCCCCTCTCTCTAAAACATAAATAAATAAGATCTTTTAAAAAACAAAGGTTTGCAAGCTAAGTAATTTGGACTTTGGTCTGAAGGCATTTGGGACCTTTGAAGGATTTTTAAGAAGTGTGTTATGACAGATTTACCCTTCTGGAAAGATCAGTGTTGACAGTTTATGGAAGATTGAGAATGAAGCCAATTTGCACAGGGTTAGCAAATGAATAGAGACCTTCAGTTAAACTTGAGGGATCTAGCATTTAACTTCTCTATTCCTAAATCCTAAAAGAAAAACAAAACAACAACAAAAACAATAGGGAATTTTATAAAGGGGTCAAAAAGAAAGAGAAGTTAATAGCAAAATTTTAGATAGAAACTGGAAAGCAGAAAGATAAGTGGCAACTGATTCAGTAGTGAAGTGGTAGCTAAGCCAGCAGTGAAGAAAGTTTAGAAGCAACGTGGAATATCCTTGAATTAATGGCATCATGTACCACTGGGGTGTAGATGGTACTAAAATAGGGGGATTCTTTGAAGTATCTCCTCCTTTACTCCATATATCTGGGCAACTATTCACCCCAACCCATCATGTTACTGGAGGTTTCTTTGTTGGAGATGGAAAACAGAAGGTCTTTTGCACGGAGGGCTGGTGTATTAAAGATAGAAAAGTGGAAGTTTGTTTACTGAGTGGTGGTTTCTCCAACACTGCCAACCACATCAGAGACAGGAAGGTTCTTATCTGGGGAATTTGACTAGTCAGAGAAAAGATCTCAGAGTACTTACCTCAGGGCTTCTTCAGCAGAGCAGATAGCGAGTTAACCCATGGTGAAATCCACTGTTGGCAAGTCCCAACTGTGTCTGTTGATCTTCTGGTCAACTTCTCATTACCTCACATGTGAGCAGACACCAGGCAAAGGAGTCTAGGCATTTGAAGAAACTTTCTAACATGAAAGGCAGAGAACAAAATAAACAGGAAAAAAATTAAAACAACACGTTAAACAATGTAAAGTAAAACTTTAGGAAAAAAGAAAACTATTGACATTTTTACATAAGAGATACTGTAATAAAGGATTGAATCCAAGAAAACACACTTGAAAAGTAAAACCAGGAGAGAAAGAATGAAAAATGTAGCAAAAGGTTTAAAGAGAAACTGAAGAACTCTCCCAGCAAGTAAAGTAAAAGAAGGGAGATGGCATTTAGGAAAAAAAAAAAAAAAGGCGGGGAGAATTATAGAGTCAGACCAGGGGGCTTAGAGACCAGAGAAAATGAAGAGGAAGAAAGGACTTGTGCTTCCATATGAAAAGGGTCCCATCAAGTGCCCAGCATCAAGGCACACCATGACATATCAGAACACTAGACTCAAAAAAGTCTTGCAAAGGCTTCCAGAGAGAAAACAGACCAAATGCTAAAGATCAGCCATTAGAATGGTTCTGGGCCTCTTCGTAGTAACACTCCAAACTAGAAGACAGTGGATCATGTCTTCAGTATTTTAGGGGAAAGTGATTTCCAATCTGGAATCCTGTACTCCAGCTCTGCTAAGGTGAAGGCTAAAAATGCAATAATTCAACAAAATAAAACTTAATTTTTTTCTCAAAAATCAGTTCAGTGTGGGTAGTTTAGTGTGCTCCACAAATCATACAGAGACCAAGGCTAGCAGTGCAGCTCTGTCATCCTTGCGGGTCGCATACTGCAAAGTGTGGTCTATAGGCCAGCAGTATTTTCATTAGTACCTAGAAGCTTGTTATAAATGCAGAATCCCAGGCACCATGACAGACCTACTGAATCAGTATCTGCGCCTGAAGATCCCCAGGCGATCTGTACACATAGTAAAATCTGAGAAACACGGCTCTAGGACATAGCTGTCTGCAATGTCAGAACTAGGCTGCTGCCATGCCTTGGTTGCAGCTGGCAGGAAGGGAGAAGAGCAAATGTCGTTACACCGATCTCAGCTGGCTAGCAAGTGGCCCATACAGTTTCTACTCACATTCCACTGAAAAAAACTTAGTCATATGATTTCAGCCAACTCTGGGGTTCAGGTAAATCCAGTCCTTGCCGATGTGGCCAGCTATTGTTCTAGCACCGTAGAAGAATAGATTTTAAGGAATATCTAGATTCTCACAACAGCCAAACTATCAGTATGAAGAGAGAATAAAGACATTTTGATATGTATGGAGTTTCAAATATTTCTCCCACATACCTTTTCTCAGGAGGTTATTAGAATTAGGCCCAGATTAGAAGGCTCCTGGAGAATCCCTTCAAGGGGATGAAAGAAATGGACATCTGCTTTGTTTTGAATGAATTGAGAGCATATATAAACTTTTGGGATAGAGTATAGGGCAGAATTAGTGATAAATCCAGAGAAGCAGTTAATTTTTAAATGACATTCAGAGAAAATAAAGTTACACAAGAAGAGCTAGTTAAGCAATTGATATCACATGGCTTAGCTATAAATAACATTTGCATAAACATAATAATGTAAATACTGAACAATGATCTAACCTCAACTGATACAATTCTCTTGGGAGTATGGGATGCAGGGGGAGACTGCTCCATGGTAGGGCAGAGGGAAGGAAGGGAGTTCAGTTTTCACCATCCATGGAGGGAGGCCAGTAGATGGTGCTTAAAACAAAAATTAAGGAATAGCAGAATGAACATTTCTAGGGATATGGAGGGAAATACCAAAAGAAACATCTAAAGCAAGTGGAAGTAGTTGCCTCTGAGAAGGAAATTGGAGAGGAGAAGGGTCTAGTCTTTATTATAATAGGCCTTGTAGTTTATCTTACTCCTTAAACTATGTTCATATATAACTTTGAAAATAAAAACAATAGCCCTGGCTGGTGTAGCTCAGTGGATTGAGTGCTGGCCTGCGAACCAAAGGGTCACTGGTTTGATTCCCAGTCAGGATGCATGCCTGGGTTGCAGGCCAGGTCCCCAGTAAGAAGCGTGGCAGAGGCAACCACCCCTTGATGTTTCTCTCCCTCTCTTTCTCCCTCTCTTCCCCTCTGTCTAAAAATAAATAAATAAAATCTTTAAAAAAAAATAAAAACAATAAATGAAAAGTGAGAGGAAATAGTGGTACATTTTACTGCGACGGAGAACTAAGCATGGAGAAATATTTTTTCTTTGGCTTGCTTCCTTCCTTTCTCCCTCCCACCTTTCCTCATCCCTCCCTCCCTTTCTCCCTTCCTTTCTTTAGTGAAAGAGACTTGCATGGGTTTATTTACCATGGAGGAAGAACCAATAGAGAGAGGCAGAGGTTGAAGAGAGGGGAGTGGGAGGGGAGTGATCTGAGCACAGGTGGGAGGATTAGCTTTGAACTGCAGAAGGCAGCTTAACCTTGGTTGTCTAGGAGGGTTGGCGTAGATATCAGTGTTTGTTGGTAGGAGGTAGGACGTTGAAATCATTCATTCCTCATCGCTTAATCTCTGTGAAAAAAACAGAAGTCACTATGAACATGAGGAAGGTTTGGAAAACTAGTAAGCAAGATGGGAGCAGGAGAGGGAGGTGACCCAGGACATGTGCAAAAGGTGGTCAGGTATTGAGGGCCCAGTTGAGGTCAGAGACCATACGTTTGTAGTGGTCCCAAAATCGTATTTAGCACAGTTTGGGCACCTAGGATGTGTTCAAAAGTATTTGCTTAATGAATGAATAAATATGTCGTGTGATTTTTTTTTTTTTTCCTGGCAGTGCTCATAGCCCAGTGTTGGAGTGGAGAAGAGTGGGGTGATAGTTGACACAAGGCAAGGGTGGGGTTTGGGAGCAGGTGTTGTGAAAGGAGACAGAGTTGAGGGTGCTGATGTGATACTGATATGATGACCTTGAACTTGGTGTGGAAAGAAAAGGAAGTGTCAAATTGTGAGGAAACAGATGGGTGAGGAGCTTTGTTACAAATAAATAAATAAGCCATAAAAAGTAATTATAATAGACTACATTAAAATAAATAAAAAACAAATTATTAAAAATATCAGAAATGAAATACTTTGGAACTATAAGTGATTGTCGCACAACAGTGTGAATATACTAAATGCCACTGAATTTACACTTTCAAGTGGTTAACTTTATGTTATATGAATTTGATCTTAGTTAAAAGAAAAAAAAAACTAGAAACATTCAAAAGATAACAAAGTGGGGAAAAATATTTGCAAAATTTATGACAAAGGGCTGATTTCTTTACTACATAAAGAGCTTTTAGAGTACATTAAGAAGATAACAGTGTGGATCCTGAGAAAGAAGATACCTACTAAGGACTTCTGGTGGCTAACTGGGCTCAGATTAAAACAAAAACATCACCTCCCTCCCCCCGCATCCCCATCCCACCCCCTAGCCACTGTGTCTACACGGGGGCCCCTTGCGTAAACTGCACTTCAGGGAGAAGCCTGCCCTGAACTACCTGCCTCTGCACTGAACTGTGTGTCCGTGTCCGCACTGCGTTTCTGCCACCTGAGCCAGCCCTTCTAAAGGAGCTTCTGGAATCCTATTTCAATCATAGGACTGAGGCTTTCCTCATCCAGTTGGAGCCGTGCAGCTATATCCTCCATCAGCTTCTTCACTAACCAATCAGAGCCTCTCCATTCTCACCACTCAGGACAGTATCTTTTCGATCAATCAAATTATGACAATTTGGAGTCCTTATTTGCAAGAGGACAGACCGACCAATCAGGAGCCTGGGTGGGGACTTCTGTCTATATAAGTCAGTTCCTCACTGGCTGCTGGGAGAGTTCACAGACCCTTTCCATTTCCCTGGCTGGAGCCAAAACACTGGAGAGCAGACCAGTGCAAAGCAGATCAGTGAAGAGGAAAGCAAAGCTACTCCATCCAAGAGGGTCCTAGCCCCACCGCCTCCTCACAGCCTTCCCGTTTCACAGCTGTGCTGCGTGCCAAACAATTGAGCTGTTTTGCCCTGAACAAAATTCCCTTTTTCCACCGCACCCCAAATTGGGGATTCCTTTTGGCATCGAAGTGGTGCCAATGCCATTGCTGACAGCATCACCCTGGTAAACCTGGCTCATCTTCACTCTTAAAGTGCAGGCTGAGGCTAGGACGATGTCACATGTCACCTGCTCATTGGCAGTGATAAAAAAAATGTGCCGTCTTTACCCCACAACTCTACTTTTAAGAATTTGCCCTACAGATATACTTTACATGGGCAAAAGAATGTATCTTAAAGATAATTGTGATAACTGTTTGAATTAGCAAAAGAGTGGACATCCTTCATGTCTATTGGCAATAAATTGGTAAAAATAAATAACATCTAGGCAATGGAAAACTATGTAGCTCTTCAATAGATTGAGGTAGATCTATATGTGTTGTTAAAGGAAGGTTCTAGCAACATTATTATAAGAAAAAAGGTGTAGAAGAGTATTCATAGTATGGTGTTATCTGTATTTAAAATAAGGGGGAAATATATGACTGAGTTTGAAGAATATCTTTGGAAGAATATAAAGGAATTGGTTATAGTGGTTGCCTCAGAAATGAGAAATGGGAGGCTGGGAGTCAGAGGCAGGAGGGAGCCTCCTTTCCACAGTTTACTGTTTGAATTTTTTTTAAACAATGAGCATATTTTTACTCTCTTAAAAACATGAAAAGCTAGAAGTACAAAGCTACTGTTTCTCAAAGTGTGTGCTAATTCAAAAATCCAGATTTCATGCATTCGTTCTGGGACTACTGAATTGGAACCTGGGAAGGCATAGCCTGGCTCTCTGTGTCTTTGTCTTGCATCCCAGAGGATTCTGATTCATCTGAAAAAGTCTGAGATCCTTGAACTGAGAGCTCAGAGGTCAAGGAGCAAGTTCGTGGGAGTCAGAGGAGGCTGGCTGCTCCTCCATGTGATAAAAGACCAGGGTGTGCAGAGTAGGCTGCTACTGTGGAAAGGTAAGCAAGCTATTGGCATTTTGGCAGCACTTAAAGCCTGTGGGTAAATAATGATTTGATTAGACATCATGAGCCGTAATAGGCTTGTAGCATAATAGGCTTCGGCAGATGAGGCTGGTAAGGCTGTCCTATCTGCTCTACCAGCTTCATCTGGAGCTACTTTGCCCGTGGCTATCTCTGTTGAAGTCCCTCTGGCCTCTTTCAGTCCCTGAAATAAGCTGTTCCTTTCTGCCTTCACATGCGGTGTTGCTGTTGCCTGGAATGCTGGAACTCATGTTTTGTTTCTCTGCTCAAAGGTCACTTCCTTCAGGGCAGTCTTCCCCAAACCCCAGCCTAGGCCAGAAC